TGTTTCCCACCCTCAAATAAGAGGAAGAAAAATATCTAATCACCAAGTCTGACACTTATAATGCCTGGTCCAATATCCTTTTATCCCTGCTCTTGTATGAGTGATGCTGCAGTAAGTTTATCTTGTCTGCATTCAGAAGATGACCCAGAACCTAAATCGTATGTTGTCTTTTGATTGGTTTGGGGTTTGTTGCTAAGCTTGTAGCAAATAGAACTGAGGATAAATTCCTCAGAAGTGTCTCTCCTTCAATATTCTCCACTCATTTAACATTTCATTTGAAACAGGGAGGGTTTGAAAGTGACTTTGAAGATGAAGTGGTATCAGATTTTAAAAAGCTTTCATTTTGCCATCAATCACCGGGGTTCTTTTCCCATGTGTCCAGACCAGGCTGTGTGAGATATTCAGTGAATCTGTGTCTCTGAGCCAAACATAGACCCTGATTTAAATGCTTTTTAGTTTGTCCCAAGAAGTCCCAGAATGTGCTGGCTCCACGGAGACTCTCCTGCCTGAAAAGCTTGGTTTAAGTGTCCTTTGAGGAACAAGGCAATACAAGAAGTTAAGATCTCAGTTGTCACATATTGCAAATGCTGTGGTGGTTTGGAATATGGAGCGGCGTGGTTTACTGTGTGGTGTCCGTGCTCATGGCAGGGGGGTTGGAACTAGATGATCTTAAGGTCCTTTCCAACCCAAACCATTCTATATTCTATGGTGAATAAGGGGAGGGTAATAGGGAAAGGAATTAAGAGGCCCCAAGGAAGTGTAGCTGAACAGTTTTGGATGCAGGTATGTATTGCTAGATGCTATTGTTTCAAAAAGAGAATCAGAAGTCATTTTCAATTCCCCTTAATGTGCAATGAGCTGTTACACCAGCCTGCAAGGCATAAGATAAACCAGTCTGGATTTGCTGATAGGAAGGTTGACAGGGACTGATTGTGCCAGAACAGATTTCCTGCCTTGCAGTGGTACCATGTGATTTAACCCACTATCAGATGCTCCAGAGGTGGGGAGAAACAACCCATGCACATGTGGGTTTTCTGTTTGCCTGCAGAGCAACAGACACTTGCTTTGTGTCCCCATTCCATGTAATCCTGCAAATATTTAATGCCCTGAGGGGTGAAAATCTTGTCATCTTGCCATCAAAAATGTTTCACCTAGGCATAGGTTGGATATAAGGCAGAAATTCTTCCCTGTGAGGGTGCTGAGGCGCTGGCCCAGGGTGCCCAGAGAAGCTGTGGCTGCCCCATCCCTGGCAGTGTTCAAGGCCAGGTTGGACACAGGGGCTTGGAGCAACCTGCTCTAGTGGAAGGTGTCCCTGTGCGTGGCAGGGTGTTGCGACTGGATGAGCTTTAAGGTCCCTTCAACCCAAACCAGTCTGGGATTTTATGATTCTATAGTGGAAAAATCATATTAAGTAAAGCGTGAGCTCAGACTTACTTTAAAAGAGATTTGGTGTGAATTCCTTCTAACTGTGACCCTCATGTTCTTAAGTTTAATGTTCCTATAGAAGAAACAAGCACCAGCTTTATCACAACCTTAGGCTGTTTCACTCCGAAAACTGCAGCCCAGGCTAACTGGCATTTTAACAGACCACTGAGGCACTCCAGAATACATGCTTACAACATATGTAAAGCTGTTATTTGCATGTTCTCCTAATTGCAAACTTGCCAACTGAGCCTGCAGTCTCCATCTTCATCTGGATACTCACTAGCTCCTTGGTCACCAAGAGGAAAACAAGGTAATGCCAATGTGGTTTGCCTTTCTGTTGACTGGGAACCTGGTGTGGAATCAACCCTTGGCTTCTAACCCTGTTGTGGTGTGCTGGGAGGCACACGTAGCACTGGAAAACCTTGGCTGCAGCCTGAATTCTCCACAGTTCCTTTCAAGGTAAACCACAGCCTAATGCCTAGCAGAGAAACAGGCCCACACAGTGCCAGCAGTTCGATATTACTGGTAGGACTTGCTCATAGCAGAGCTTGAGGGTTCAAGCAGCACTCTCAAAATTCCCATTTCTAACTCAGTTTTGCAACAAGTCTCTAATGTGCTGGTGAACACAGGCTGCTTAAAAGCTATTTTCCTTGCCAAGACCTAGAACTGTCTGATGATGGAAATCTGCTGCTTTATTTGTGGCTGGGCAATGCCTGCAATAGCTTTAATATTGCTCTTAGGTCCTCAAAAGATGGGACTGAGAGGCTGAATACTTCTCTTGAAGAGATGAGTGAGCCAAGCTAACAAAGGTCAAGTGCTATGGAAGTGAGAAGGCAAAAGCAGTTTGCAAGGTGTGAGCTTCTGTCACTTCTTACCCCACAAACCCTATAATCCAGACAGGTCACTTGTAAAGTACTGTGTAGAGCAGGTGTGTACCTTTGTTAGCAGCATAATTACCCCCCAGATCTATAAGGCATGTTGAACTGGTGAAGTTAAGGTACAATTAACTCCACAGGCAAGGGTGGGAGCAAGGTGCGTGTCATTTGCTTCCATCCAGGTGCACTGGCCATGGGTGACATTGAGAAGTCTATGTCTCTGTCCTGCTTATATTAAAGCTCTGAGAGACAGGCAGGTTCATAGGCTGACCCAGCTGAGAGGCCTGGGTTCCCATCCACTTCTACAATGATTTATTGGCCAGAGCTGACTTGTGAAGGTTTTCTACCACACCCCAGTGTCAGTGGTTGAATAGAGGGGAAAGGGGTGAGCAGTGTCTGGGGTAAAAGATTGATTGAGGGTGAGAGCACTGAATACCTGTCCTGTGACTCAGTGCCAGCCCTTTAGAACACCTCCCTCGGTGTGTGTTGTCACACTGCCCTGCAGCACTAGCTGGGGTCAGAGCTCTGTTTGCCCTGCAGGCTGTGCAAACAGCTGAAGAGCCAGTCCTCAGCCCTAAGGAGTGTCTCTTCTGAGAAGACAAATAACACATGGGAAAGAAGGTGAAAGGGAGAAGCAATCATCTGTGTAAAAATTGCTTGCTCTGCTGGCTGTGTTCATAAACTGCCTGAGCAATGAGGAGTTGGCTCATACCTGAGTAAATGTGTTTGCTTGAGGACACAGGGAAGCTACTGCTGTGTTCCCGCTCCAACTTGGAAGACCTGCAGCGCACAAGAAGTGTGTATTTTGGCTCTTAGAGAAGCACAGGGTTATAAGCAAGAGGAAGGGCCAGATGTTAAATAGCTCAGTCATGCTATGGTCTGTTGAATCTTGGTATTAAATTTGCCATTGGTGACCTCGAGTCTTTGCAGCCTCAACTGTGTGTAGCTTATCTGAGACAGAGAAGTTCTTTAAACACCCAAGAGGGACTGACTATTGACAGTAGTGTCAAAAAGATGTTCGGGTATTCAAATGCTAATACAGCTGATGCATTTAAATAAGCCTTTTCATTTCTGGCCATACAAGGATGAAGGAGAAGATGAGTAATAGGTGAGAATGGTCTTAGTGTGGGGTTGGGACTGTGTCAGTGCCCTTTCTCTGCTGTGAATGGTTGTCTGAACTTGACAGTCAAATCTGCAACCTACAATAAGCGGGCTATCATCACAGCTACTTGATTGCATTAGAAGTTCCTTCTAATCTCATGGACAAGATAAAACTGGCATGAACCTCCTTAGGGTTGGACTAGATGCCCTTTGAAGGTCCTTTCCAACCCAAACCATTCCATGATTGGCCTTCAGGCTTGGGGAAGATAGCAGCATCCCACAGCAATGTGGACCATGTTGAGCCTTAAAATCTCCAATTAACTTGATTTGTTCTGGTTTCTCCCTTGGGCTCTGGTATTAGCTTGTTTTGCTGCAGGAAAGGACATAAACAGAGAAGGCAGATGAAGCCTGACTTGACTTTTTCACTAGGTACTCTCCAAAGCTGTGTAGTAACTTTCCTGGTGTGTAGGTTAGTCTCCAGGCCATGTATAAGCACATGCCTAATGCATTATTCCTAATGAGGACAGAAAACAACCTCTCAGATGGCAAACAAAACCTCCTTGAAGAATGTTTCATAAAAACAGGGTGACCCTGAAGCCTGAAAGCAAATTACTAAATATGTGCTTCACAGTGTTTAAAATGGCTGTAATTCCTGTGGTAGATGTACTTTTTACAAGGCCTGGTGGGGCAGGACAAGGGGAATGGCTTTAACCTGCCAGAGGGGAGATTGAGATGAGCTCTGAGGCAGAAGCTCTTCCCTGTGAGGGTGCTGAGGTGCTGGCACAGGGTGCCCAGAGAAGCTGTGGCTGCCCCATCCCTGGCAGTGTTCAAGGCCAGGTTGGACACAGGGGCTTGAAGCAACCTGCTCTAGTGGAAGGTGTCCCTGCCCGTGGCAGGGGATTGGAACTGGATGAGCTTTGAGGTCCTTTCCAACCCAAACCAGTCTGGGATATGTAGATTAATAAACTGCACAACCTTATTTTGCTGTTTCTTCCATGAGATGCTGTCTTCCTTTGTAATTTGTGTTCATATAAGGATCTTTGTGTAACCTATAGAAAAAACGGTACTATCTTTCCAGTGCACTTTTGGGATGTGTGTGTAAAACCAGTGCCATATGAAAAGGCTAAAGAGGCACCTTCTAAGCCCCAAAACAGCCATGGACTTAATTTTGACACAGCCGCCATAAGCTGCCATGCAAGCTTACCTCAATTTTATCCTTGGAAAACTGGCCTTCGGAGGCAAGAACTCAAGATCTGCAGTTACTGGAGACTCCTCCAGAACTTTCTGAGCTTGAGAGTTAGCATGGCAAAGCACATATATATATTTTTAAGAGCTGTTTCAACTGAAGCTCCGACGGTAACAGGGCTGAGGCTTCTCCTTCCAGCTTGTTGTCATCCTTCGTAGTTAAATAAGGAACTAACAGGTTGGAAAATGGAAATAGTGTGCTGAGACAGCATTAAAAAACCCCAAACCAACCAAATCAACCCCAAAACTCACACTTTGCATCCCCAAACCCTCCAAAATCCGACTTTGATTCTGTTCACACAGATAAGTAGATTGTGTGTGTCTCACTTATTCCTTTTTCCCCTCCTCAGGCATTTACCAGAGAAAGTCAAGGATGACGTTCAGCTCAAGAACATGAGTGGGCAGTGGTTTTATGAAGCCAAGTCCAAGAGGCACAGAGACAAGATACATGGAGCAGATATTATCAGAGCTTCCATGCGCTGGAAGCCTGCCCCTCCTGGTAAGCATTTGCTTTACATTTTATTCTGGAAAGGCTGGTTTTTACTTCGCTAACCTCAAACACTGTTGTCTGTGAAATACAAGAAGAATATTGGTATCTCTACAAGCAGACAATGATGCAATAAAAGAGATTTCCCATGAGTTTACAGTGTAAGCTTTCTTCTCCCCATTAAAGAGAGGATTCTGTGTGATGACTGCTAACAGGAGGGACTGGCTTGTGTTGATGTGTGGGACTAAAAGCCCTCTACACTCCTAATGCATTCTAATTTCCATTCTTGAGGCCCTCCGAGCTACCCTGGAACATGCGAAGAATCAGAGGTCAAGGAAATTGCTTTTTTATGTATGAATTGCCAAGATTTTGGGTGGTGTTTGAGACCTCTGAGTCTCAGTGCTTGGCACCGTGAGCCAGAGGTTCTAACCACTGAAATATGTGCTGGAGTTCTGGCGCCCCATGTTCACATTAACTTGTAAATGCGCCCATGACCTACCCACACCACGGTGGGTGCCCCCAAATGATCTATTAGAAATGTTTGGTAAAGCCAGTTGTGTTCATGTACCAGATAAATTGCAGACATTAATTTAGTAGTACAGATAGGTGGTAGTATATTGTGTGTAGATCCAGTAATATCAACGAGCTTTGGGCTCACTTGATAATAAATACTATATTCTGAAGCTCTTCTTTTAAAGAAATCAGAATGTAGGAAGATAATGCATTGTGTTTGACATCAGAAATAAATACAGTGTGGTGTCTGGAGAGAAACAAACCAAAAGAGAACACAGGAGCTGCTCTACTGAACAAGGGCAAGACTCTTATTCTCTTGTACTGGTTCTATTGAGGGATTTTGCTGTGTGCTCTTGAAGCAAGTAAGTACTTCTGTCAATGCTGTGTATATACTACAGCGTGCTGCTTTCCATAGGTTTCATAACCACAACTTAGCCTTGTTTTCCTGTGTCTAATCCTGAAATGTTGTACCTTCTCAGTTCCTGCATTCCCAGAGATGGGGGATAATGGCAGTTTAGTCAGTTTGAGGTTACAGTGTGATGGTTTTGGCTTTTTAAGTTGACAAGAAAAGGCCTGAAACAGAGAAGACTGCCAAACAATCAAAGGTTAGCACAGTGTGTTTGTGGGTTTGGCTGGTTTTCAACTTGAAGATTATGAAAATCAGCTGTAAAATTGTAGCTAAACTTTACAATGATTTATAGCTTAAAGGAAAGTACTTAAAGCCATATTATCTTAAAGGAGGGTAATTACTCCCCAGTCTTGTTACTTGAACAAAGGGGTGTACTGGTACATTCAGAACTATGTACAATTGATTGCTTTCAGTGACTCAGTAGATGTCAAGATATTTTTGCTTGCAGTTATGGATAGGGATAGTGAGAACAAAAATCTTGCTTAGTTTTGCACAGTAAGAAATCCTTAGTGTGGGGTACAGGGTGGATTTAGATTAGATATAAGGAAGAAGTTCTCGCTTGCGAGGGTGCTGAGGCGCTGGCACAGGGTGCCCCGAGAAGCTGTGGCTGCCCCATCCCTGGCAGTGTTCAAGGCCAGGCTGGGAACAGGGGCTTGGGGCAACCTGCTCTAGTGGAAGGTGTCCCTGCCTGTGGCAGGGGGTTGGAGCTGGATGAGCTTTAAGGTCCCTTCCAACCCAAACCATTCTGGGATTCTCTGATTTCTAGTAACATTAAAAAAAGTGGTTTTCAGATGGCATCAAATCTGCTCCTGCACACAATTCGGGTACAGAACTTTTGAAATAGGTGTAGGACTGAATGCAAAAAATCATGTATGAACATGGGGGAGACAACAATATTCTTATTTCATGTTTTAGCTGAAGTGAGTCAGAACAGAGCAAACAAAGCAAGGAACAGCTGGGTGAGCAATGTTAATAAAGAAGTCTTTGTGCCACCAGAACTCCATGGCATTGTGGAACACCAAGAAGAAGAGGCGCAACTGAAATCCAGTGCAAGGTAAGCTGTCAGTTTAATCACACTTAGTACATGTATATCAGGATTGGTGAAAGTTGTGAGCTGTAAGTTCCATCCAAAATCCTGTGCTTGCTTCTTACTTCAGAGGTCACCAAATGTTTCCTCGTTATTGCCTGAGGAATCAGTACATGTGAAAGACTGTTAAATCAGTCATGCATTGTTACTTGCTCTGCATCCAAATGCAGAATGATCTTCAGTTTACTTCTCCAAGGCAAAAGTTGTCAGTGGTGTATAGAATCATCCCATGTGTATTCTCATGTGACAATTTAGTCTGGCTCCTGGAAGCAAGCCCTGGAGTTTCTGGTTCCAATGGTTGGTCATGATCAGTCCTTCACAGTTAGTAACAGGGGCACAATAATCGCTGCATCCCTTCAGTCAGCCACTTATTAAAACCAGACTATTGGTTCAGCCTGAATTTTAAGCTTGGATCATATGAAGAATCAGAGACTAAGAAATAACTCCAGAATTTTCCAGGCTTTTTGGGTGCATAGTTTAATCCTCAGAGACTTTTTAAGGAAACCAAAGGTATTTCAGGTGGAAAGAACCAGAATCTTTTGTATTCATGTGGAAAATAAGTCAGATTGTACCAAGAAAAGTAAATGCCTTTCTGGAAGGGAGAGGCTTCCATTCAGAGTAAGAGAAGACAGTCAATTTGGCTATGCCTGAATGGCTGTGGTTGTTACAGGAAAGCTGGATGATAGTTTGTGAACTACAGAGGATTTGGTATTAAATCACTTTATCTCAAGTCTGTAAGCACCCCAAACAGCTTCATTTTGCTTTGAAATATCCTGAGGTGGTCTTGGAGAGACAAACGTGTTCTCTTTAAAACACCTATGTGCAGTAATGCATTGGCCTGTGAAGCTTTCAAAAAGCCTGCATTTGGAAAGGAGAGTGCTGATCTCTTAGCTAGAGTTAAGCAGGCAGGAAATTAATTTCTTTAAATGGCCAGATTCCTCAACACCAGTGAGGAAACAAGAAGCAGGGTGTAACGCAGCTCCTGCTGTTTGTGCTTTCAGTGAGCCGAGAGAGGTGAGAGCCAGAGTTACTCTTCAGGATGACTGTTTTGCTTCTGGTTGTGTCATTGATCTGCTCTGTAACCTTTCACTTTCTTGTCTGTCTTCTAAGCCCTTCTCTGTACGTCATCTGTTTTCTCTTTGCAGCAAGGCTTGTCTCCTCCTTTGCACTTGCACTGAATCTAATAGCAGTTGAATCTTTCACTTTCACGGCCTGCAAACGGGGCACGCACGTTCATGGTGAATGACACCAAAGGTTTGTGTAAGTCTTAACAACTCTGGCTTGCATTGCTGGTCCTACTTATCCTTTACGTATCATTGTGAGTGAACTCCATTATCTTAGATACAATTGAAATCATGCTGAAAAAGTTCAAATAAACTGCTTTGTTGTAGACTTCCTGAAAAATGAAGTACAGTAAGGATGGTAAGTGTTGCTTATCACAAGAAAGAGCTTAACTTCCCCCTCAAGTCAGCTGATAATGCTGACAGAGTGAGTTGTTACTGAATGTAGGTTTCTTACATGTGGCTTTTACCTTCAGCAGTTATTATGGAGTTATGTCTATGCACAACACAAGACATACTGCTGTTTAATATCTTAGGATATTTTGCATGTCATCATGCACACAAGGAAAAGATGACAATGCTTTAAAAATACAGCCTTATAATGTTATACTTGCCATTAGAGCTCCACAAATTGTGTGTGATTAATAAAGAGTAATACAAGAAATCTGGAGAGGGACTTCTTGCAAGGGCATGTAATGACAGGACAAGGGGAATGTCTTTAAACTGACAGAGGGGACATTGAGATGATCTCTGAGGCAGAAGCTCTTCCCTGTGAGGGTGCTGAGGCGCTGGCACAGGGTGCCCAGAGAAGCTGTGGCTGCCCCATCCCTGGCAGTGTTCAAGGCCATGTTGGACACAGGGGCTTGGAGCAACCTGCTCTAGTGGAAGGTGTCCCTGCCTGTGGCAGGGGGTTGGAACTGGATGAGCTTTAAGGTCCCTTCCAACCCAAACCATTCTATGATTCTATGAACAAATTACTCAGACTTTTTTATATTCTGGATCCTGTTCTTAAACAAAACTAATTCTTCCTGAATATGAAGAACGTTCAGTTCTGGTAGATGTGTTTGTAAATTGCTGAGGGTCACAACCAGCCCTGGGCTGGTTCAACTGCTGCTGAGTCAGGTGCTGCTATATTAGGTGGAAGAGAAATCTGCCCACAACTATATTCTTAAAATTAGCTTAGTTATCTTCATCCCCACACCCCAAATATCTAAATCCAGTAATGAAGCTATGAACTAGTTGGGTTTTTTTCCTCTTTGACTTTACAACACTGTGGTACTTCTCTTGCATGCCAGAGCCTTTACATGCCAGAAGTGAGCTGTACCCTTGCACAGAAAGAGTTTTCACAGGGTGACTCAGTCAATATTAACTCTGTTCCCTGATACCATCTCTCTATAGGCTTAAAAGAGGCAATGTTAAAGGGGTTTTATCTTTCCAATTGAGATGTGGAGGTTGCTTTCTTCCCTAGGCTAGAGAATACTCTTAGACTGCCTTGAACAGGCAACAAGTGTTCTGCAAGGTGAGAGCTTGTACAAAAGCCCTAATAACTTACAACTCCATGTAACTTTTCTGCATTAGGGGTAGTGGGATACTTAGATAAGGATACTTTTGATTTGTTTTGGTGAATGGGAGGCCATTTCCAAGTAGATTGTATTGACAATGCCTGCAATTCTGTATCTCCTTTCTCCATCTGCGTTGGCCTTGTTGCCTCTTTGTTCCTGTCCAGTGCTGTCCAGTCTGTGTGCATTTTGGGCCTCCATTGAGGTTCTCAGCACTTTGGTTTGCTGATTTGCAATGCAGGAATTCTTTAATCTGGGTGTATTTATCAGTTTGGCTTCACACACTTTCATAGATTAGCCTTGTGAATGCAGCATATCAGGGAACTGTTTGTTCAGTTTTCCCATTGTATGGGTTGATATTTTCAGACCTTTTGTTGTGCAACTTAGTTATGGGATCCTGGGTGTGTGTTTTTTCTCTGTGTTTTCCTTAGAGCAGGGTTTTCAGTATGCAATGCCAAATTATCACCTCTCTAATTATTCTGTGGTAAGTCTGAAGTAGCGTTGCATTCATGTGGAATTGTATGTGTGTTCCATGACACTTAAAGTTACCCCCCCAGCTCACCAAAGAATGTCTTACCAGTTTTTTGCAGCCCAGGGTACACATCAGTGTTTTCCTTGTCTAAAATGAGTGAAGGGTTGAAGTATTCATAACCTGGACCTTAACATAATCTTGTTTGTCCTGTTGTATGGTCGATGGTGGAGATGGGACACCAAGTGCAGGAGCACACAAGTGCTCTTAGAAACAAAAGCACAAAGTCAAGTGATTTATCAAAGCAAGAGCACAAACTCCAGTCCAGCAGAACAAAGTCTCCTTAAATAGAGGTATTTTCAGACTTAAAAAAACATGATTAGAACTTCATCAGGGACTGTCATGAAAGGGCAAGGGGCAATGGGTTTGAACTTAAGCAGGGGAGATTTAGGTTAGATATTAGGAAGAAGCTCTTCCCTGGGAGGGTGGTGACACACTGACACCGGTTGCCCAGAGAAGCTGGGCTGCCCCATCCCTGGAAATAGATGGAACATGTCTTGCTATAATGCAGGAGCTGTCTCTTGTAGCTGATTTAATTTCTCTTTACCTGGGTTATACTTAGTCAGAATCACAAGTAATAATCTACTTCACTTATGCTCTCAAACCATAGATTTTATAAATCTTAACTGAAAGAACAGCTTATAAGCTGAGGGGATGTGTTGTCATTTGAGGCATGTAACATCTTTGCTGTGGTGGTGATGGGATTTTCATCAGATATTGGCACTTTCCTCCACTTTGATTTCAGTCCTAGAAGTATAAATGTAGGACAGGGATGGAGATGGCAACACTGATATTGTTCGGGGAATGGCTATATTTACATAAAGCTTGCTCAAAAACCTGCAAGTGTCAAAACCACAGTTTCTGTCACACCAAGTGAAAGTTGTATTGAAATCTTTAACAAGCAAGGAAGCTTTTGCAAGGATACAAAGCAGCAAGAATATCCTCTTGCTGTGGAAAGGAGAAGGTTTGCTTCTGAATCTGATGCAAACAGGCTGAATAGAAAACTTGAGGTTATATTTGAGTATGTAGAAATGAATCTTTGTTTTGCTTTTTAAATAGGCTAAAAGTATGTCCTGTTTGCTGAAGGTGTTATATGCTTTTTCTTTGCAGTTCTAAAACAATAAGCTCTGTGTTGGACAAACCAGAGGAAAGACCTAGGAAGGCAGCAGTCTTATCAGTAAAGGTATGACTGGTATTGAATGTAGCAGCAGTTCTCTCTTACATTTTGTGTGTTTCTTTGCTTCAGTGGTAAAGATAATTCAAGATTAGAGGCAGAAGATAATAAGTTGGGGAAAATGAGTATTATTTTTTATTGAAGGGAGATAATGAAAGCCGCTAAAAGCTCGGTGCTAAAGTGCTGTTATGGCTATAAGAAGCAGCCGTCTGTGCTTGACATTATTTCCAGCCTCTTCAAGTACTGAAAAGAATTGTCCTGCTGTGTTGTGATAGCTCTAAAGTCACAGAATTAGAGATAAAATTATTTAACTTGCAACAATTTGGGATTTTCAAGTGTTTTAAAGTGGTGGCTGCTGGTGGGGACTTCAGCAATAACAAGACGAGGCTATATCACAAGCACTTCTGATTGTTTCTTGGCTCATATTGTTGAGATGCTTTGTCATGCTGCCAATTTTAGAGGCATGTTTTCAGGCTCTTTCCTGACAGGGTAGTGAGGCAATGACTACACTTTGATTTACTTTGTGAAGACTGTGCTGATATAACAATTTGACTGCAGTTATAATGTTCATTCCTGTTTTCTTATAGCAAAGGAGAAATCCATTTAATTCCACTGCACCAGGTGATAACTTGCACAGTGGGGAATCAGAAAACAGACCAGCCACTCTACCTCAGCTATCAAAGAAGGGTAAATACACTTATTCAGCATCTCACTGTGAATTTCCTGGTGGTTTATATGGAAACTAATTTTACTTTCTTTGCTTCTTTTTGTAAGGTATCAAAACGTATTTTATCTTAACTGCTTGGAGTTATCAACTAGTTCATTTCAAACCCCGTGTAAAACATGTGAATATGCTCAGGAAATGGCTGTTTATGGGAGTAAATGGGTTTTGCTTCCTCTCTTTTACTCACAGTTCTAGTCAGTATTAAGCACTCCATCCAAAAAGGCTGTTTCTCCTGAATGGCTGTTAAGAGAACAGAGAAATTTCCTTGAATCTGGCACAGTTATCTTGATGTCCTTCCAGTCATTGCTGCTGTTGCCTCAAGAGAAGCAGCCCAGCTTTCTTTGATCTTTATTGTTTCCTTTGTTTTCTCATTCCTGTTTGTTTTCCAGTGCTCCCTTTCCTGCAGTATTCTCTGCAAGCAAGTAGACGAGTGATGATATGTCACAACACAGGCATTTGAAGTTGTAATTTACAGGCTTATATGTGGAAATAACTCTGTCTCTGTTACGAAACTTGCTAACAGGAAAAGGAAAACTTGAACACTAGGAATAAAACCCATCTTCTTACTGGGAGATAATTTCTGCATTTTTCCCTTGTTCCAGGTGAATGTGGAAATAGCCTGTTCCCATTTCTGTAGGTTGCTGTTTATCTTCTGAACCTGAAGAGTTGTATTCAAAAGCTGCCCTTCCCTGTAAACTTTGTGCCTTGCAGGAATAAAGCTGATGGAAAATTTGGTGTGCTCTCCATCTTTGGAATCATCAAATAGTTCATACTTCTAGAATAAGAAATAGCTGCAGGATTATCATCTGCTAAGGCTTCCTATTACATATGAAATCAACACTTATGTTGAGCTTCTGCTTGTGTTTTACTGCAAATGTTGTTAATAAATCAATCCAATCACTGCACTCTAGACCTGCACTGTGTCATATACCTCTGCTTGTGCAGATGAATGTCATGTAAACTCATGATTTCTTCTCTATATATCTCACAGAAATTCTGCCACCCTTAGAAGACAGCCAACCTACACTCAACTTACACGACGATGAAACAGAGAAACACAATCAGCCTCCTGTGGAACCTCCTGATGAATCATGGAAAGCAGTGAAGCGTCCTGTCCCAAAAGCCAGGAAACTAATTCACAAAGCACCAGATCCTGTGTCACAAAGAGAAGACTTTGCTCCAAAAGCAGCCAAACAGACTGAGAGGATGAATGGCATCAGCACACCGCCCAGGGGCATTCTGAAACGCAGCTCAAGCTCCAGTTCCACTGACTCAGAAGTTCGTGTTAGTCAGGTGTTAGATGTTCAGAAAAAGAATGGTCTTCCTACTGCAACTATATTTGAAGGAGAAGCTGAGAATTCCCTTAGGGAAGAAGCAGAAGAGTCCACACAAATTTCACTGGAAAAACTGAAACAAGTGAGGTTCTCATCTGGCACAGGTAAAGGAGAACCTCTGCAAAGCCCACAGCCACACCATGGTAGAGAAACAGGAGAGTTTGGTTTGTTAGACTCTGATGAAATGAAGAGTGGTGGAAGTGATGCTATTAGATCAGATTCATCTGGGAATAAGCAAATTTCTGCTGAAAATCCTTTGGGAACCTATTCATCGGCTTTACAAATAAACCCAGTAGATGGCTTACAAGAAGACACATCAGCATCCAGCCTTTGTGACACTAATAGGCCACTCTTCCTGGTTAACGAAACCTTGCAGAAAAAGACTGTCGCTCCTAAGAAACTTGAAACTCCACAGAAGAGCTCCAGCAATATCCTGCCAAATAGCGATAATGAACTGAGTGTTGATGAGACATGTGAAAATAAACCCAACCAGATCTTGAGCCATGAATCGAAGTCACACAAAGACTTTACTGGTAAGAGACAAATAGGAGTGAGGAACAGAATGCAGCAGCACATAGTGTGGATTCCTTAATGTTTGAATCACTTGTATCTAGGAACTGACAATTAAGAAACAGAAATAGTAGGAAGTGTTCAAGGAAGTGTATCTGGAGAGCAGCTTTTTACAAAGGCATGTGGGGACAGGACAAGGGAGAATGGCTTTAAGTGACAGAGGGAAGACTGAGATGAGCTTTTAGGCAGAAGTTCTTCCCTGTGAGGGTGCTGAGGCGCTGGCCCAGGGTGCCCAGAGGAGCTGTGGCTGCCCCATCCCTGGCAGTGTTCAAGGGCAGGTTGGACACAGGGGCTTGGAGCAACCTGCTCTAGTGGAAGGTGTCCCTGCCCATGGCAGGGGGTTGGGACTGGATGAGCTTTAAGATCTCTTCCAGCCTAAACCATTCTGCAATGATATGAATGTGCTACATACTGCAGAACTAAATTCTAAATCACTTTTTATTTAATTGCTCTAACGTAGTCAATATTTTTTAGATGATCTTCTACTGACATTCTTAAAATTGACAATCAGATCGGAGCCTGAATTAGGTACCTTAATTGTGGATGATGAAGGTGAAGTGATGGCATTTGGATAAAATTCCTGTCATGAGGCCAGGTAGATCTGTCCGCACAGGAACTGAGGAGTTTTTTGGTGTGCTGCTGTCAAGTGTCCTTGCTTGTAATCCAGTTGTGACTTGGGGATTGGCTCATGGGACTAAATCAGCTGCATTGTCTGCCTACTTCCTCCCCCCATGTAGTCATTCCCTTTAGAATGGGGATAACCAGTTTTATTAGCTCACACCCTCAAAAGTGATATGATTCCAGTAGGATATCTCAGTGCAGGAGTTTATTTTTCACTTTATTGCCTGCAGTGTGGTTCTTTCCAAAAACACAAGGACAGAGAACTCTTCTCTCTGCTAACAGAGATTTTCAAGCTAGATCAAACACTTGTAGAGTCACGTGTCTGATTCCTAACTCTGATAAGTCTGTTTGTTGTAGATGAACATCAGCTTTCTGCTAAGACAGAAGCACATGAGGTGTCAAATACCAATTCTACAAGTCTTCAACAAGGTAAGCCTGATCTTGTTGAGGAGCAAGATGCTAAAACCACTCTAAAGCCTGACAAAAATGCCGATGAACTCAAAGTGGCTGATGAATCTGTATCAAAAGTTTTAGACTGGTTTGAAAGAAGTTCTGGTGCTGAAGATGGGAAACTTGGGTCAGCTAAACCCCAAGGCAGGGAACCCAAAGAGGAAGTGGACTTCTCAGCCAGAAGAGCAGTTCTTCCTGCAGAACACAGTGGGCTTAAGATGGCTGGAAAAACAGGAATTACAGAAGAGTTGCTGTCTGGAAAGAATAAACAACAGAACAGAATTTCACCTACATCACTTAGTGCAGGAGATACACAACTGATAAAAGAGAGGATGAAACCTGTGAAAGGGGAAGAGAATGAGGAGCAAAATGACAAATCACAAACTGAACTTGACTGTACAAAAGTTGAAGAACATGATCAAGAAATTAAGCAGCAAAATGAAAAATCAAACCTCTGGGAACATGAAGAACACAAGCTACCAGCTGAGAAATGTGAATCAGAGAAGGCAATACGAGAAAGAAGAAGAATAAGGGAGATCAGAGCATTTTGGGAAAGGGGTCAAACTACCCTCAGTCACGGAGAGAAAGAAGATAGCATCAATACTAATGCATCAGGTGGTGGTGCATTGAAAGGTCTTGGGGTAAGTGACAGAATAAAAGCAACTGCAGTGTATGTACCTAGTGGATTGGATGACCGAAGCAAGAATACCCTAACATGTGCTGAACCACGTTGTGCAAGCCAGGCTTCAGAAAATGAGCATCAAAACTCTTCTGAGTTTAGACCAGGCCATGCAGCTGGAAAGCCAGAAAGAACACTTCCATCTGATGGTGAAGTTCATGAAGACACAGAATTGCCAAAGGCTGGTAACTCGCAGCCAGGAGTTGGTGCCATTTCAGCTTCCCCACGAAGCAAAGACAGAGATGAGAAAGAAACACTGAAAGGAAAAGCTTCTGCTTGCTTCGCCCAGAAACCCAACTTCCAGATTTTGTCTTTAAAAGACAAAATTAATGAGAAGTCCAAGAATCAAATTTTGGATTCTTCACATTTCCAGAGTCTGAGAAACTTCTGGGATACTGGAGCTAAATTAGAGAGTGGCATTGACAGGGGAGAGGTTTCTTTGCCAAATAAAACTAATTCAATAATCCATGAGAGAAAATCAAAGAAAAATGAAGAAGGCAGAGATAATGTGAGCAAGCAAGAGTTAATTCAACAACAAACCCAAATACCTGAGACAGAAAACCCACAGAAACCTGATTCTGTGGTCTCTGAACTGCCTCTAGGATCTCCTACCCTGAAAGGTCTGAATGTGACACTGACAACGTCACAGCTGGACAGAAGGGCAGTTATCTCAAAACCCAAGGACAAGATGTGTCTTCCAGAGCAAGAAGCTAAAGAATGTGTAGAAAAAAATATTGTTTCACCAGAAGAACATCATATTTCCTTGCAGTTGCTCCTATCACCTGGAGATAAAGGTGCTTTAAAGGAGACAACAGTAGATGATTTGCTATGTTTACCTATAGAAAAAGTGGAGAAGACTACTCCATTAGATGTCAGTCTTCCTCAAGAGGAAGTTGCAGAGACTGTGGATAAGGTGGTTCTACCTAAACCTGATCTGGATGTATTTAAATTAGGCCTCAAGAAGTTAGAAAAGGAAGCCTCTGAGATGGCATCTAGCTTGAACCTAAAAGAAAACAGTTTGAAACAGCCAACTCTTCACTCGGAACAGTGCAAGGTCTTTGGAAGAACAGTAGGACAAAGCCATGACTCTTGTCCTGCTGCTCAAAAGGAAGAAATAGGTAAAAGCACAGGAAAAGTGAATGTGCCATCAAGAGGTGAGCATGAAAACAAGAAAAGCCTGGGGAATTGTAGGGAATTTGAGACTTTCTCTCTGCAGCCTCAGGCAGCAGACAAGGATGATACTCCTGAGGGTTCTCAGAGGCCTCAAGCTGGTTTGCAGAACCTCCTCAGAGAACCCTTTGTATCTCAACCTGAGTATAGAGGGATGGGAATGAAAACATGCAGTAACATGAATAGTATATTACAAACTAATTATAGTGTAGAATCAACATGCCCAAAAGTTACTGGGCAGCCTGAGGAGATCAGTGAGACCATAGAAAAGTCACTTGCCCCATCCAAGGTCAGTGGCTTGAGTTGTGCTTTAGACAAGCTGCTGAAGGAGGCTTCTGAAACACCACCTCCTAAACCAAAGCGTGTCAACTGCACAGTACTGAGGGCTGCTGAGGTGGAAGTTCAAAGCACAACCTGTGAGCCTGATGGAGAGTTCCTGCAGGAAATTGGTGAGACCATAGAAAAATCAGTTGCCCCATCCAAGGTCAGTGGCTTGAATTCTGCTTTAGAGAAGCTGCTGAAGGAGGCTTCTGAAACACCACCTCCTAAACCAAAACGTGCTGACAGAACAATATGGAGGGCTGCTGAGGTGGAAGTTAAAAGCACAACCTGTGAGCATGGTGGAGAGTTACCACGGGAAAACAGTGATACCATGGAAAGATCTGCAGTGTCCAAGGCAGAATATGGAGTATTTGATGTGAATTTGCAGAAGCTACCGAAAGATAACTCTGAAACACCAGCTTCTGTGCTGGGAAACAGGGATAAGAAAAGGCAAGATAAAATACAGACTAGTGTGAGTGTGCCCACTCCGCATCGAGAGAGGGACCAGCCTCAAGAAATACAAGAAACAATAGAAAAAACTTCAGTTTCAAATACTGCAAAATTCAATGAGTTCAGTTGCTCTTTAGAAAAACTTCTTCGAGAAGCATCCAAAGCTTCATGTCCAATATCCAGGGAGTTGAATAGGCAAGAAGAGTTTGGGGATCATATTCCCTCACAAGAAAAGACTGTCTTCATGACAATGTCACAGCCACGTCCTGCTTTCAGTAGGTGTCATACACAGATGAAGACAGCTGTCAGAGGGGGGGCTCCACAACAAAATAATAAAGCTTCAGTGAATGATCTTGCAGTAAGTGAAACTGAAGCTTTTGATCTTCCTAAAAGAAATGGAGCTGTTAATACATTAGGAAAGAGAAACATGGCTCCAGTTGATCTCCCTCCCTTGGAAGGAGATCCCAATGTGACTGAAATCAAGCTGTTCAAGATAAATGAGAAAGGAAGGAGAGATGAAAGCACATCCCTGGATGCCTCTGAAAAGAACCCAGACTTTAAAGCACCATTGGGATTCAGGAGAGCAAGCACACCACTTAGAGATGAGAGCTGCTCCCCCCAGCCAGGAGAAGCTCAACTTCACCTCATGTCTCTGCATGATGAAGAGGAAAGGGTTGGATCAGATCTGGGATCCAGTTCTTCCAGTGAACACTCTGATTCCCACTCTGGAAGCAGAAGTTTATCTCGTGAGCTGTTTGATTTCTAAAACTCAGGGTGCTGGATTGTTAAACATGGCTACACTTTCCTTAGTAGCCAACTTGAAATACATTTACACAAAGTCTGTGTGATACTTCGTGTATCACAAGGCATTTCTCAACTGAATGCTTTGGATAGTTGTTGGGAAGGATGGGAAGACTCAGTAGGTCCTTTAATTGGAAAGTGTTTCACACATACCACATTTGGCTGAACTTTTTCGGTGAGGGGAGTTCAGCAGCATGAATCAATCACATCAGTCTTCATGATTCACCCTTTTCTTCCTCCCCTGTGACATCACCTTCAAATTACTAACATTGAAACACTCAAATTCTAGTATTTCTTTTAAATATACTGGATTAAAAGAGAGGAAAAAATCAGTGGCTGACTCAGTTCATTCTTTAGTGTGACCAGTTGTTCTTCAAAGGTAAATCCTCATCAGTGGAATGGCTGGATATAAAGACAGTACCAACACTCTCTGCTATTTTATTCAGTGTTGCTGCCTGCTAGGAAGTGGTCATATAAATGGTCTGTTCATTGGGATTCTCATTACCTGACTGAATGGCTGCTCTAATCAGCGTGTAGCGTGTGGTAGTCATCGAAGGGCATAAGGTAGAGAAATAATTTGACCTTTTTAATCTCATGCTGAGAGGCTGGGAATGGTTTCTCCACCCAGAGAGAATGTGAGCAATGTGTCAGGTTCCCAGGGCCTGCCAACTCACTCCTGAGTCTGTTCTGAAAGTGAGATTCCAATGGAAGTCAGCAAAGACTCAAGACAAATGAGGAAAAAGGAAACATAATTTGGTTTTACCTGTGATTACAGACAGCAGCACTGTAAGGCCTGGTTGGTTGGTTGGCTGATGAGGAGGAAACGGAGGCACGGAGGAGACAGGGTCTCAAAGGTTTCTGTCTGTCTTGATTCTGCCCTTGGAGACAATTGCATCATTTCAGGGATCCAAATATCTCCACTGGGTGGTTTTGTGGTTTTTACTCCAGTATTGAAACGAAATTACTTTCCCTGGGGAGGAAAATAGAACAAAGTTGAACAGAGGGAAAAACTAAAGCTGTTAACTTTGTTTTTGGAGCTGGTTCATACCAAGATAGTTACAAAATGACTAAAGTCTATATTATTCTTAGCCAGTTAAGTGCCACAATTGCCCCAAACCCCATTATTAGTCAGTATACACATACCCACACAAGGCAAATCAGCCAACCTGCCTCTCTACTGATGGCCAAGACACTTCAGAGACAGCAAACGGACACTTAAAATTAGACATTTTGTTTATTTTGGACTTCTTTTGCATTTTCACTGAATGTTCAGTCTTTGCTAACAGTCAAAATAGATTCTCATGGGCAATCCGTGGTTGTATTTTTAGTGACTTATTTGTGGCATGTCTGTATGTGCAGTGTTCATGTGTTTTGTCTCATAACAGGTTCAGAAGAAGAACTAAACCCTGTTTTGCTGGCTTTGAAAAGGAGTGCAGATAGGAAAATGCCTTCCAAAAGTCTAGAGGACATTCCATCAGCCACCTCAAGTGAGCACAAAGCTTGTGTGTCTCCCGTGACCCCAGTTTGGCTTAACCATGTTCATGCTGGTCTTCCATACAGCTTTGCCAAGTAGTGTTTTTGTCTGTGTTTCCCAGTGAGCTGTATGGAACTTGTACTGTAGAACCATGTTCTTTTCTCACATGGTTTAGACTTCAGTTCTTTGTGATGCTTTTGACACAGCACAGGTCCATGAAGCAGACATCTTCCAAAAATGCACTGTGTTAATCAGTGGTGAAGTATTCCTTGAAGAGTTGGTGAGGTGCTGGCACAGGGTGCCCAGAGAAGCTGTGGCTGCCCCATCCCTGGCAGTGTTCAAGGCCGGGTTGGACACAGGGGCTTGGAGCAACCTGCTCTAGTGGAAGGTGTCCCTGCCTGTGGCAGGGGGTTGGAACTGGATGAGCTTTAAGGTCCCTTCCAACCCAAACCAGTCTGGGATTCTCGTCTTTCAATATTGAAAGCTTTGGCAACTACCCAAATGTGCAGTGAGCAACAACTGCCATTGCCTCTTGCTTGGGTCAAGACCTGTTGGCTTGGGTCAAATTAGTAGACAGTGGAAGTATGAGAAAATCAGTTTAGTAGCATTTCACATTTGTATTCTAGCAGTTAATATCCCAAAATCACTCTAAGAGAATACAATGAGACAAGATTGTACTTCAAATTCATTCCCTTTGTAGCCTTCTTAGGTTTTTATGTTGAGTTATTATTCCTGTCTCCCTTCATACTACCCCTGAGTGTTTTCAGGCTCATCCTCTGCCTAATGGGGAAGACCTAACCTGAACTTCATGTGTAAACTGAAGTGTGGAGTGTAGATTTTGAAAGATGCTGGCTGTCGTTGGCAAATTACTCTTCTAATACTACTTATGCTGTTGCCTGCTTCTAACTAGGTTTTAGGTATGCACTAACACTTGCAATGGCACACTCATAGAAACCATGTCGACGTGAGACTGCTGCTTGGCTGCAGGCTTGCTGCAGTGTGTGAAGTAGAAAGCATCTCTTGAATTAACCATTTCCATGGCTCTGCTGGTTTGTTTGACTTTGTGTCCTCACCACTGTTAGCTCTGTGATTACCACTGCCATCCATTTTATCACACTGAACAGCAGAATTCCTAACTGTGTGTTACTTTTTTCCTGCACAGATAAAGGAAAAATAACTAATCCAAAGGAAGAATTAGCTCTTAGTGCTGAAGATGGTAAATATTCTTTTGTGTCTGCATGGAACTTTGTTTTTTCAATGGCTTCTATTTGCTAGTGCAGGATTTTTTTTAAGCAAGAATTGTGCTTCTAGATTTGATTAATTTCAGCATGACTGAAATGTTTGTAGACTTTCACTGTGGTGTTTTACTCTTAAGGAATATACTGTTATGTCCTGCTATATCTGTAGAAACTCTCTACCACTTACCAGTGTGTTGTTTTGGCCTTTGGTAATTCAGCCTGTGAAACAGTTACTGAAATTATTGAGAGCTTTGAACAGTAGCTCAGTTGAAAGACTTGACTTAAGTAAATATTGAATTTGTCTGTTAATCTGTTGCATTATAAGATGGTTTTTGCTAGTGCAAAACACCCTTCAGAGTGCATCAGTTGAAAAGGAACCTCTCCTACAATCCCTTTCTCAATCTAGCAAAGTAGTTACTCCAAGAAGTAGACGAAGCTCTAGATCAGCTCCAGTAGCTATCATCAGTCCACTAGTGCATTACAGATGCCTTGCTGTTAATTTTTCCTATATACCTTTAGAAATTCCAAATCTAAGAAAATAAAAGCAAACCTGCTCAATGTCAAGATGAATACAATGGAAAACCATTAAATTACATCGAATATGGTAGCACATAACACACAACTCTTTCTTTACTGCATTGGAGCACTATAGCTATAAAAAATAGTTGTGCACAGTTGCATTTGTTGTCATGTTTTAGATGCTTTAAGGCATTCTGCATGTTAGTGGCTTATAGTATAAACAGGGTGATTGTAGCATGACAGGATGCATGCACTGTCCAGAAAATGAACATAAGGCTTCAGTACCATACTGTACTTTGCTTTCAGATGGAGCCCCCTACTTGAAAGCATGTTTTATGTTCAGGATGGAATGTATAGACACTTACCTGAAAAGGGTGAGGGGGTTATTTGGAGCTTAAATGTATTAAGAGTGAAGTTTTGAAAAAATAGCAAACAGCCAAATGAATAGCTCTGCACACAGGCAAGTTCTTGCTTTGCTTAGCTTGTACACTCATGTTCCCCTTGTTGTGATCCAGCTCCTCAAAGGAGGACAGCAATGCAAAATATAGAAACACACAGGGTCTGGGGAAGTCAAAAACTTCCCATATCTAACATGTATTGATGTTATTTATAACATTGCAAAGCTGTTTGTGCTACTAAATGACTGTTGTCAATACTGCACTGAGCAGGTCCGAAACCTGGTCAGCATCAAGAGAGGAATGAAAATGCCACCGGAAGTGAGTAACAGGATCCTTCCAGCAGACAATGGAGAGGCTTCTCCATTGATATTTAAACTAATGCATCACAAATCCTTTGTTACTTAACAACTAACAAGTTATACATCTGGACTAGATCCGAGCTCCATGTGGAAACTGCATCTAACTGCATACTGAAAACAACTGACATGTTGAGTGCTAATTGAGCTTCATCCAGCAACAGCTTTGCAAAAGCTTAACTCTCACCTTGCAAACAGTGTTGCAGTGTTTCACTTTGTGTGATAGACAGGTGTGCCTCTAGCTGGCTGTTTGTTGCCAAGTAGTTCTGTCATATGCTATTCAGTCTTGGTGTGTTTAACAATGTGTATCCAGTCCACAGATAAAGAGCTTTAGTGCATTATTAAATATAAGTGGGGTTAGAGAATGGAAAATTCTGAGTATCATGGGCTTACTGCAAACTGGATTTTTGCAAGGCTGCAATGTTGTGCAGTTAAGCTTTGTACAGTGAAAGAGCGTAGAAGTGAACTTCATTAGAGGTATACAAATGAAGAGATGGGCTGCAAAAAAGTGCATCATTAATGATATGCATCTTAAAATTAACTAGGAATACTTGAAATGCCTTTGCTTAGGTCTAAAAATAGCTTGATTTACACAATGTTCCTATTGCAATTAATTAGACTGTAAAGAAAAGAACAGAGTTTAGCTGTATGCTGATTTCTTACCAAGAACTTTATGATGACTGTAATCATTCTAGGATTGGAACTAGGATTAGGAGGCCATGGAGATGCTCTGAGGACTGGAGCAGCTCTGCTCTGGAGCCAGGCTGAGAGAGCTGGGCTGGGGCAGCCTGGAGAAGAGAAGGCTCCTGAAGGGGAGACCTTAGAGCAGCTCCAGTGCCTAAAGGGGCTCCAGGAAACCTGGAGAGGGGCTTTGGACAAGGGCCTGGAGGGACAGGACAAAGGGAATGGCTTGAACCTGCCAGAGGGGAGATGGAGATGAGCTCTGAGGCAGAAGCTCTTCCCTGTGAGGGTGCTGAGGCGCTGGCACAGGGTGCCCAGAGAAGCTGTGGCTGCCCCATCCCTGGCAGTGTTCAAGGTCAGCTTGGACACAGGGGCTTGGAGCAACCTGCTCTAGTGGAAGGTGTCCCTGCCTGTGGTAGGGGGTTGGAATTGGATGGTCTTCCAGCCCAAACCATTGTATGACTCTAATGTCCATGAGGGTATGGTTAGTGCATGAGTGCTGCACTTATCCTTGTTCTAGGAAGAAATGTAGAAGGTAAACTGAAAATATTTTCTTCATCCCTTTTGATTAGAATTTGGTTGCAGCACCCAGGCTTGTACATCATGTCAAGCAATGTCAATGTTTCTGCTCCTGCCGAAGTCCTTTGGTCAGTGTTATAGAAGCTGTCAAAGTAGATTATGCTTCCTAATGAGTCCTCTGGGGGGTGTAGGGAGGAGGACCAACCTCGCATCCAAGTTGTAAACCGGTTGTGCATGTGCATGTTATTTCGCCTGAATTTGTCTAACTGTGTCATGTTGTGGAACATCCCTGTTTTGATGTACAAATGTATTTTTGAAGCCTTTTGAATTGCTGCTCTTCAGTTTCCACAGTGCCTTCACAGCCTGACAAGCTGTCTTCCAATCCTGAAAAACTCAAAGGGCTGAGCAAGTCAGTACCATCATTCATACAGGAAGAGGTAAGTTCCATTGTCCTGCTGACCTGCTCCATGGACAGCAGCTAAAGTGGTCCTAGAGAAGCCATCTATTCTTTATAAGGGAGCTTAGGATTTTAACTGTCTTCCATGAACTCTTTGGAACACGACTGATTAGCCACATGGCTTAACTGTTACTTCACTCCCTGGATTTACGTTGGACAGTCCCAAATATCTCTCTCCAAACCAATTTTCCTCTCAAGGAGCCCTGGCCTGGGCAGAATGAGCATTAGGATGGGCATTAGTCAGCCCTTACCTTTGGCCTCTGAACTGGAGAATAATCTTGGCCTAGCAGTACAGACATGGCCAGAGAAGCTACAATTAGCAGATCTTCATAAAGACTTATTAATAATGCTTCTATGGTGTTTATTTATGTCTATAAATATTCGTTTGATTTAGAGTGTGTAGATGTTGTTTACTAATCTTGTGTTGCTGGATCAAAACTGTATAAAGGAGGGGAGAAGCCCTGTAAATGGATCGTGGCTGGAGTGCAGCAGGAAAATGCTGTTTTCTTCAGCAGCTCGCAAAGGAAGATGCCAAGACACACATGGGAAGTGAAGCATCGATTCTTTAGTACAGCAATAGCATTGAGACAGAATGGGGTTGTAAGCACATAACCTGGTAATGACCAGGTAAACAACAACTGCAGTTCCTTGATGGAAAAGCAGGGCCCTGCTTAGTGTCCTGCAAGAAAGGCTCTTTGTATCTGGTGCTTTAGTGTGCATGTTGCCTCCCAGCTAGCTGCCTTCAAGACAGGGTACAGAATTGACTGTATTTGCTATGTAACAGAAAGGGACTGGTAAAAGACCTGAGCATTATCACTTGCAAAGTGAAGTAGAGAAGCTGAGTTTAATTGTGCCAGTAAAATTGTACTCTTTCACTGCCATTTGAGATTTAAAGCCAA